CAGGGTGCAAGATTATATTCAATATAGATCAAAAAAGTCTACTTGGATCTCCCATCTCGTAACTTTCCCATAGAAGGTCAAAGATGTCTTCATAATAACTCTAAAAATCAAACTTTCTTGATGGTCCTATGATTAGGAATAGGGGATAAAGGAGATTTTCTGCTATCTTGTAGGTTATTTCCTATTAAGACTATATTCTATCTACATATTCCTACAGTACAGGTTAGGCACTGGGAACATTGCTTGATGAGGGGACAGGTAAACAAACAAAAAAGGAGTCTATGTCCCAGAGGCTCCAGGGAGCAGGTGTTGTGGGGGTCTAAACCCCAAACCAAGTCTGAGTGTTACTATATCCAACAGAGAGAAGATCAGATCCATTCCTAAGTGAAGTCCTTGGTGCTGGACTCTAGACTTTGTATTTTCCCAACTACAGTGAAGCTGTTCTCATTAGAGTGCCCCATTTGTATTGGGACCTTCCAGACTTAATCTTATTGATAGAAGTACTTCCTGATAAGAAAACCACATCCATGGTCAGGGAACACTTTCTTTTTACTGGCAGTAACCAAAAAGTATGGCTGGAGGCTCATGTATGGGATCTCTCTCCCTCCCCTTCGCCCCCCTCTTTCCCATCCATTCCTTCCTTCTTTTACTTCCCTTTTTTCCTTTGCTTTCTTTCATGATGTTGGGGATTAAACCCAGGACTTTTGGACCACACTATATCCCCAGTGTTTTTTTTTGAGACAAGGTCTCACTAAGCTGCCCATACTTGTGATCCAACTTGTGATCCTCTTGTCTCAGTTGCCCAGAGTGCTGAGCTTATTTGCATCACCACCACTCCTGGCTTCATATATTTTTAATATTTAATGAATTGCCGTAGGAGTGATAAATACCAACTCAGTATAGCTCTGGGTACTAAGGGTTCATTTGTGTGCTTTGCAAAATATATTTGTAAGTATGCAAATGCTTGCTCTTTTGTTATTTGTCTTGGCGGCTGTGGACATTGTCTACCCTCCAGTCTTGCAGTCTTGGAAAGTAAACTACAGAGACAACCTTGTATTTAGCATTCTACCCCCAGGCTCCTTTCTGAACACTAAAGACTGGCCCTACCTGACCTGTCCTGCAAGCTGATAAAGGCTGTGAAGATAAGTTTATGAAAAGGGCCTACCAAGGTCACCCAAGCAAGGCCTTTGGCTGCTGCTTCTTGAGTTTTGTCAAGACTTCACACCTCTTTTCTGTTGTCACAACCTTCTCTTGCTTTTCCTTCTACTCTGATTTAGGTGCAGTTTTAAGGATAACTGCCTATTAGAATGTAGCCCAGTTTACCAATGACCATCACCTAGCCACATCTACCACGTTGCATCCTTAGCATTCTTTCTTTCAAAGAGCTTTGAGAGTTTTGGACACTGGGTGACACTATAAAAATAATTCCTGGTGGTCACTTGACTAGTCTGAGTTGTAGTTTAAAATTGCAGTGTTTGGGGCTGGGGATTTAGCTCAGCGGCAAAAGCGCCTGCCTGGCAAGCGCAAGGTCGTGAGTTCGGTTCCTGGTACTTGAGAAAAACAAAAACAAACAAACAAACAAACAAAAAAATTGCAGTGTTTAAATTTTTAAAAAATTATTACAGTAAAAAACACACTACCATTACCTCCCCCACCCCAGAATATTCCCCTTCACTTCGAACACACTTACACGTTGTTATTGCCAGGCTCCGAAGCAGTTTCGGAAGTCCTCTTCCACGACTGTCTTCAGTTGTGCTGTTGTGGCTGCCTCAATGTCCTTTTTAAATCAATTAAAAAAAGTTCGCCTTCCATGGTCATTTTCACTTTAGGGAAGAGCCAGGAGTCAGTGGCTGCTAGAGCTGATGAATAAAGTGGGTGAGGACACTCCACAGTGTTTCATGAGCCTGCTTTTCCATTGTTTACACTTGGCAACAGCATTCGCCATATTGTTATGAAAATTTGTTCATAGAATTTGCAGCAAGTTTTTCAACTGAAAATGTGGAGCAGGAGGGACAGTTTGACTCACCAGTGTTCTGTATTTCATAATTTGCTTTGGGAATAATATAATAGAGGTGTCATTTTCTGAATATAGGTTATTTACAGCCTATTTTAAATCCTAAGCTGGGTTTTAACAGGCAAGTTCCTAGTATGATCCTGGGTTGACTCCCCCCCTATCCAGTCCTGGCATGTGCAGGAAATACAAATTTACTTTAATAGCAGCTTACATTAAATGTAATTTTTAAAGTAAACTGAGAATTAAGCATTTTCTTAAATACAGTATTTGTCCTTGGATTCTGTACATTACCCTGGTTGAGGTGTGTCAAAAGTCAAGCTGCAAATGGGATTTAAACACATTCTCCACCTGTTTTAAACAGTTCTAAAACATCTTTAATGGGACAGGGGATGTAGCTCAGTGGGAGCACACCTCCCTAGCGTGCATGAAGCCCTGGGTTCAAACCCCATTACCACACACACGAAAAAAGAGGCCACTGTGCTTGTCCCAAGTGGCTCATGCCCCATCTGGAGCCTCCCAGTTCTTCAGACTTCCACATCTTTATGGAACAGGGGAGCCTGGAAGCCTGAGGGCGGCTACTTGGCTCTGTAGCTTCCTTGAGGCGCATTCCCAAGAAAGTGTCTTTACCCCAGGTCCTGTGCAGCCTTTCATCCCGCCGCTGATAGATTCCCCAGATGCACCAGCATCAAAGCAAGAGGTGCTCCCCACCAGGACACATCAGAACACACATTTCCCTGCAGGTGCTGTTTGATATGCTTAATCATAGATTGAGAGCCAAATAAAGGATGAGAGTCCTGTTTATTTCTTTGTCTGTGGAAGAATTTGTGAAGACCTGAGCAGAAAACCTAAGCACTTACTCATTGTTACCTCTGCGGTCCAAAGATATTGATCTAGGCAGAGGTCTCTGGGCCTAAAGATTTTAAGGGAGAGGCCAGGTGTGGTTGCGCATGCCTATAATCCCACCACTTGGGAGGCTGAGGCAGGAGAATTGCTGAGAGTTCAATACCAGCCTGGGCTTCATACCAGATCCTGCCTTTAAAGAACACAAAACAAAACAAAACATCTTAAGGGAGGAGGAAAACAGTGTCACCTTGGCCCTTTCTCAGCTGTGCCACCAATGTTCCTTTACCAAAGGGAGGTGACAGGTCCATTGCAGTTCTGAGTACTCTGGATTGTTAGTTGAACAGCCAAGACCAGGAAGTGGAAGGAGCACCAGTCATAATGCCATAGGTACTCACTTTTTGTCAATGAAGAGACCAAGGCAAAGCTGAGGAAAGAAATTCAATAACTTGTCCAGGAATGGCTCACATGCATTTAGTCAGTATCAGCAGAGCTTTGCTGACAGGATGCTCTGAGTATTCAGACACTCAGCACATGTGAAAGAACCACTGTACGTGGGAATATTCCACTGTTTGGGAGGAGGAAACAACTCTAGGAATATGGGCACCAACTCCAGGTTCCTAGAATCCTTCCACTTGAGGTTGAGGAGAAGATGACAGGCCAGTGTTAATGGCCAGCAGTGTCCCTTCAGCTCGCTGAAGAGAAGCCTAAGTGCTGTTGGTCGGCCGTGAAAGCTAATCCCAGCCGAAAGCTAATTTTTCCGACTCAGCTATGAGCTGAAACAGAGTGGGGTAGCACCATCAGCAGAGACTTTGAATGCATTCAATCCCATTTGAAAAAATAAGAGCCCACTGCACAAGGATGAATTCTTGAGCATAGAACCCAGACATAAAGGGTTTCTTAAACTAAGGTGCATGCTGTCACTGAAGCTGGTTTTTTGGTCCTGTGTATTTGGTACCAAGTGCCAGAGAGTTGCTTTAAAGCTGTGGGATGAGCCTGCCCTCTAGTGGGCCAGGCGAGTCATTGTTCTAACCAGGTTCTTGGCCGATGTGCTTCCTCAATCAATAAAGTGACAATTTGTGTGGAAAGAAATCACATTTTATTCTTCAGCACTTGGACTCACAGTGCTGTGTTGACCTCTTAGCCATCATTGTCATATATATCATGCCAGTGTTGAGGTTTTTTGCCTATATACTTTAGAGGAATCACCTCATAAACAGGCTTCAGACTCCTAAAAGCAAGGGTCTGCCTTATGTCTTTTTCTTCCACACCTTGTGCCCTGTTGCTCACTTAGCTGGACATGAAATTGAAGGTTAACTAGAAAATGAATCCTCCCCATGCTCCCCACCCCACAACAAAAGAACCTTGTCACTTCTTATTTGCTTTTGAACCTTCTAGTCTCATCTCTCTGATCTATAGTTCCACAAGTGGTTGAATCATTTGAATCCCTTAGAAAGCTTATAGGACAGTTTCCTGGGCCTGACTCCAGACCTGCTGAATCAGTCTCTGTGGTTTGAGCCAGGAAATCTGCTTTTACAAACTTCCCAAGTGGTTTTTGATGTGCAGCCAGGTTTGGCAGCCAAGTGCTCTAAATCCCCATTTACAGTGATTTCTCATACATTCTCCCCCACCCGTCGCGTCTCCAAAGGTCTTCAGCTTATGTCACCTACTAAAATTGACCATTTTGAGACTCATTCAGAGATAGTAAACATGCCATTCTAACTCGAAGACATAGGATGAAGAAAGGACCTCAAGAGATGAACTAAAGGCATTTGTTTTGGTTGCCAGGAGCTCTGTGTTCATAGCAGAAAATACTAAAATGAACAACTCTGTGCAGACTGGGAAGCTTGTTTATCTATAGTTTGTTTTTAATGTTTGGGCTGATTAGAGAAACAAAGGCTTATTGAGTAATCAGTTACCTATTTCTACTTATTCTAATCCATCCGCTTCTTGGATAACACACAGGTAGGTAGCATTATCCCCAAGATGAGAAAGTTGAGGCTTAGGAAAGTTGGATAACTTGCACAAAGTCACATAAGTTTATTGCTGTCAGAATCTGCATTTGAGCACAGGCCTGATCTCTAAGGCTGGCATTAGGAAAGTAAGAGGACCAAAGTTGCCAACCTGCTCTTTTTCCCTCCCCCAGGCCAAGCGAGCAGTGCAACGGGGAGCTACTGCAGTCATCTTTGATGTATCTGAAAACCCAGAAGCCATTGACCAGGTAAACCTATACCAATCCTGTGGTCTCCCAGAGAGTTACTTCCTTTAGTTAGTCTGGCTGGCCACAGTCGTGTCACCCTCTTGTTAGAGCCTCTGCCCGTGTCTGCTGAAGTAAAGTGTCTATGTTTGGACATCATACCCAAAGGAGCTGTACTGAGGAAGGTTAAGAGCCAGGGAGTTGGGAATGGGGGACATTTTCAAAGACTCTTCTGGGGCATCAGCCTGTCCATCCTGTCTTACAATGAGCCTTGCTCTTCTAGGAACCCCCAGGCTTCAAAGATTTTCAGACAGGTATTTGGTGTTCTTTTCCTTCAGGTGTTTTCTTTTTCTTGCTTCTCCTCACCCACCTCCAGTGCTGGGGGATCAAACCCAGGACAAGCACTCTACCACTGAGCTACATCCCCAGCCCACTCTGTCGCTCTTCCTTTTTAAAGTAAGCACATCTTTTAACCATCTCTAAATCTCTCTTCTTCAGCTAAACCAAGGCTCAGAAGATCCACTCAAGAGACCAGTGGTATATGTGAAGGGTGCAGATGCCATCAAGTTGATGAACATTGTCAACAAGCAGAAAGTGGCTCGAGCAAGGATTCAGCACCGCCCTCCTCGAGTGAGTGTCCAGGCTCAGGCCCTGCAGTTTCCCGGCCACTACCTCTGCTTGTGTTTCCTTTAGGCTTTGGGCTTTCTCTGTTTAAAATGCCAGTGTGGACCGGGGATATACCTCAGTGGCACAGCACTTCCCTGGCAAGCACAAGATCCTGAGTTCAATTCCCAGTACCCCCCCAAAAATAAAAATAAATAAAACAAAATAAAATGCCAGTGTACCCTAGGTTCCTGCAGGTCTAGTTCTCCTACAGGGCAGGAGCCTGGAAGAAATTTCACCTGTATTCCTTTTTAGGGAATTTGAAAATAGATATACCAGAAATAGATAATTTGTGCTAAGAAGTCAGTCTCTGATCTCATCCACCTGGCATTCCTCTTGATAGCCTGTCATTTGTCCTTCTCCTGTCCTGTCCTCCCCTGAGAGGTACACTGAGGAGAATTGAAGGGTAGACTCAGCATTTGGCTTCCTGTGCCCCATCCTTCCATTTGATCTAGGCACTAGAGAAAAGGCCTGGACTCCTTCCGAGAGGGCAGATTACTTTACCAAGACTGCCCAGCTCATAGCTGAGTCGGAAAAGTTAGCTTTCGGCTGGGATTAGCTTTCACGGCCGACCAACAGCACTTAGGCTTCTCTTCAGCGAGCTGAAGGGACACTGCTGGCCATTAACACTGGCCTGTCATCTTCTCCTCAACCTCAAGTGGAAGGATTCTAGGAACCTGGAGTTGGTGCCCATATTCCTAGAGTTGTTTCCTCCTCCCAAACAGTGGAATATTCCCACGTACAGTGGTTCTTTCACATGTGCTGAGTGTCTGAATACTCAGAGCATCCTGTCAGCAAAGCTCTGCTGATACTGACTAAATGCATGTCCTCGGTGAGACAGCTTCAGGCTGTAGGAGCAGGTGCTAGTGTGCTGTGAGGAAAAAGGCAAGAACTAAAACTAGAGGGAGAATTTGAAGAACTGACTTGCTGGCCTCTTTTTAAAGGAAGAAAAACCGCTTTGGTAAATATGATTCATTGTAGTGGAAGCTGTTTTTGTGGAAGCAACACACAATTTTCTGAGTTGTTGTAGACCGTTAATTACATGGTTAGTAATCACTGTTCCCTCAAAACATGACACTTACTCCTTTGTCCCATAAATGTGATTATTTGTGTTTGTTTGGAAAGGCCTTTCCTACTGGTTAGAACAAACTTTGTGCTAGTCTATGGGAGCCCAGGCTGTTTGGTTTTGTTTGTTTGTTTTTTGAGACAGGGTCTCACTGTGCAGTTCAGGCTGGCCTTGAAACTCGCTTTGTAGACCCGGCTGGCCTCAAAACTCAACAGCAATCCTCCTGCCTCAACCTCCTGAGTGCTGGGATTATAGGCATATACCACCAAGTCAGGCTTTATGAGTAGAGTCCCCTTGACTATTGGGAGGTCTGCCTGGGCCCAGAGAACATGCTGTTTTTGTGAGCTGAGCCCCAGGAGTTTCCCTCACACTGACAGGACTCTTGCCCCACTCCACCAATCCTTGTTCAACTAGTGCCAACAGCCCCTGTGTGCCCATTATCAAAAGGAAGAGTGGCTGAGATTGTGTCTGTGTTCTGTTCCAGCAACCCATCGAGTACTTCGACATGGGCATGTTCCTGGCTTTCTTTGTGCTCGTCTCCTTAGCTTCCCTCATCTTCCTTGTCAGAATCAAGCTGAATCAGCGACGTCAGGTAATCCCTAAAGCCGCTCCAGAATGTTGACCTGGTTGCCCTGTTTCTGGTGAAAGTCAGGGCTGTGGTCAGCGCACTGTTTGTGGGCCTGAGTGCCCAGCTGGTCTTGTACTGTCTTCAGTGTTCCAAAAGGCCAGGTCTGTAAAAGCCCTCTACTATAGATACTTTGTCAAAAGAAGTGTTTAAATAAATGCTCCAGTGGGGCCCTATTGCCTTGCTTCTCATCAGCAGCACTCAGGAGCCTGGTGGAAATGCAATCTCAGGCCCTGCACCAACCTGCTAAATCCAGTCTGAATTTGCTAAGCCCTCTGCATGATTCTAGATCAACAGAGTAGCCACAGTAGCACTCCAACCAGCACATCACTGTGTATTTATAAGAAAGAAAGATTTCGGAGCAGAGTATAGTGAGAAGGCTGAACAGGAAGCAGAACTCTGAGATGTGTGGTATTGTGACATCTCAGGAGAGAGTTGGTGCTGCACGTGGTGGTGGTCTTTCAAGAGGAGAAATGCTTAAGTTCTCATGAGGCTTGAAGGGCCACCCCCGCAAAACAGGGGCTGACGTTTATCCACTACATCCTGTGTGCCTGTGGCCAAGGTCACGTGCATTGTCTCATTTGCCCTCACAGCTTCTTTCAACATCTAGGATGAACCTTTGGTGGAAAGTAGGGTCTCACAGCATTGGGAAGCAATAGGGTCAAGTAACTGGAGGAAATTTCTGCCTTCACTTTAAGGGGAAAGCCTGGGCTGATGTCATGGGCACTCCAGGAGCCTGGAAAATACATGCTGTGGCAGTCGGATATCTCGGAGTGATGTCTCAGAAATCTGTTGTGGCTGGATGGAGCCTAGTGTTTGTCCCTGTACATCAAGTGTCGTGGCACTGGGGTTGACCCCTACTGTTAATGTGTACCAGACTCTAACACTGACCGTGTTCTGCCATGCAGAATTCCATGAACAGGCTGGCTGTGCAGGCTTTAGAGAAGATGGAAACCAGAAAGTTCAACTCTAAGAGCAAAGGGCGCCGAGAGGGGAGCTGTGGGGCCCTGGATACCCTCAGCAGCAGCTCTACATCTGACTGTGCCATCTGCCTGGAGAAGTACACCGATGGAGAGGTAGTGGCAGAGGCCGGGCATGTCGTGGGTGGGAAGGATGTAGATAGACCAACCGAAGTACCAGAGGCCACAGTCTTCACACCGCCTCGCAGCAGCCAGCAAGGGCAGGAGCACATGGTAGTGAATGGCCTGAGATGTTCTCACTATTTCTCCTGGGATTGGGGTAGGGGCCACAACACTTTCTAGAGGATCACACTGAATATAGGTGATTTCAAAAGTTGACTGGAAATATATGTAAGAATATGTCTGGTTTTAAGAACATTCACTCTTGTTGACTATTTTCAAATTATTCTTCTGGAAACTGTAGTATTAGGTATATTTTACTTGCAAAGAGACAAAGAATTTGATGTCCCCCATACTCTTTCTTTTCAAAGTTTGAAGCCTTCAGAAAAATTGCAGTTTTTTGAATAGGACCATGAACAGCATAGATTATTCATCAGAATCACTTATTGGTAACATTTTGGCTGCTACCTGTGCTTAATCTCTGTCTGGATAGATGCATCATTCATACACTCTGGGGGAGCAAGGAGCAAACCGCTTGAGGATTTCAGGCATTTGAAGCCCCTTTGATACAACTACCCCACCACTTGTTAAACTATTGAATGAAAATAAGCTTTTACAGAAGCCTCTGGAATAATTTTGGCATGAGCTGTGGGTAGTAGACTACCTTGGCTCTAACCCTGGCCCAGGTGGAGTGTTTAACTTTGTGAGTTTTGAAAGATGACCTCATTCTCTGTGTCTACACTTGTGACACGGGCTTGACACAGACTAGCATCCCAGGTATTATGAAGATTATGTGAGAAAACGCAGGTACACCTCTTGGCACCATATCAGGCACAGTGTTAGTTATTAATCTGAATGTTCCTGTGTTGGACTGGTCAGAAAATGAAAAGACAAAGTAAAATTAGGAAATTTGGAGGATGCTTAGGCTTGGGAATTCCATAAGGGGTTCTGCCCCCAGAAAAATCCATTGCATTTTCTCTGTAGGGTCCAGTCACAGAGGGGATTGGAGAATTTACCCTTTTGCCACTTGCCATGTCAATCACAAGTCTCAGGCATCTTTTTTACTATTTGTGTCCATTAGCACAATTTGGAGGCAAACACTCATCCCACCCAAAGACATGTGTACTATCTTGGGATGTTCCTAGGTCTCTGTGTCCACAGCCTCCAGGCTTCATAACCTCCTTAGCATGAGGCTTTAGTCTTTGCTACTTGAAGACATGAATGAATGTGTATGCCCTCCAGCTCCCTCAAAGGGAGCTCCATGTGCTCCCACTGCTTTAGCACTGAGGGCTGTGATGGACAGTTCCCGTCTACATAGAACCTGTCTGTGGCCCCTGCCTCAGGAAATGGAGCTGACCTGGAGGTGGGGAAGAGAGTGGGAAGTGTGTTGGTCAGCTTTCCATTACTGTAACAAATGCCTGAAATAACTTAGAAAAGGCTTATTTTGGCTTACAGTTTGAGGTTTCAGACAATGATCAGTTGGCCCTATTGCTTTCGGCCTATGGTGAAGCAGCACATCATGGCAGGAGCACATGGTAGAGAAAAACCTCTTCACAGCCAGATCATGAGAAAGGGAAAGAGGAGCCTGGAGCCCCGCAACCTTCCTTGAGGGCACACTTCCAGTGACCTCTCAGTAGTGCCAAGCTGAGTACTAAGCTTTTAACATGTGGGCCTTTGAGGGGTACTTCAGCTCCAAACTGTAACAGAAAGTCACCAGCACAGTGAACAGGGCTCCTCAGTACATGTTGGGCTCTGCAAGAAGAAGCAGGTATGGGGCTGAAGGCAGAACTGCCTTGCTCTGCCCCCATGCCCTCTCTTCAGGCTCTGTCTTCTCTCCCTCTCCCAAGGAGCTTCGAGTTATCCCCTGTACTCACCGGTTCCACAGGAAATGCGTGGATCCATGGCTGCTGCAGCACCACACTTGCCCCCACTGTCGGCACAACATCATAGGTAATTGTTGCTTGTCTCAGTCATTGCTAAAGAGTCACATCAGAGAACACTGTCCCTACAAAGTGCCTAGCAAGTATGTAAGGCATGCCATGGGCTCGAGAGCTTGCAAAACCACCATAGCATTGCCTGCTGGCCTTGAAGGCATGGTGGCCATGGAGGTTGGCTGCACAACACTGAGAGGAGCTTGACGTTAAGAATCACTCGCAGGGAGCCTTGGAGTGTAGTTCAGAGATAGTGCATGTATCTAAGCATACTCAAGGCGTTGGGTTCTTTTTTTTTTTTAAAGGCCTTGGGTTCTATTCCTTACACACACACACACACACACACACCACCACCACCACCACCACCACCACCACCAAAAATTGCCGAGTTCAAGTTCAGGCTTCACATTAAACATGAAGGCAGCCCTTCCTTGCCTCTCCATGCCTGAAGCCTCTGATCTCATTTGCGGGATGATAATAGCGGTACCTGCCCATGCCCCGATCACAGATTTGTTCCCAGGGGCCATAACAGATGATGGATATACTGTGACAGATGTGAGACACTGCTCTTCTGTTCCTGTGTTACGGGCCAGGGCAGGAAGCACCACCATCTTTGTCTCCTTCTTGGTACTCTTGTCAGCCAGAGCCGTGGGGAGGTAGGAGATGGGATCCTACAGAAGTGACCACCTTTCATAGAAAGGCAGGTTGTCCTCCAGCCAGCCTAACTGACCTTGCTGACAGCTTAGAATGTGGTAGGGTGGCAAGAATAGGCACCCTGGCATGTGGCCATTTCTCATGCCTCCGGATCTTGGCACTAGTATGCTTGGCCTTGTTTACCTTGTTGCCTCTACCTCTCCCCAGAACAAAAGGGAAGCCCAGGTGCCGTGTGTGTGGAGACAAGCAACCTTGCGCGTGGTCGGCAGCAGAGGGTGACCTTGCCAGTACATTATCCTGGTCGTGTGCACAGGACCAACGCCATCCCGGCCTACCCCACAAGGACAAGCATGGACTCCCACGGGAACCCTGTTACGCTGCTATCCATGGACCAGCATGGGGAGCAGAGCCTCTATTCTCCACAGACCCCCACCTACATTAGTGGCTACCCACCCCTACACCTGGACCACACCCTGGCTACTCACCGCTGCAGCCTGGAGCACCGAGCATACTCGCCAGCCCACCCCTTCCGCAGGCCCAAGTTCAGCAGCCGCAGCTTCTCCAAGGCAGCTTGCTTCTCCCAGTATGAGACCATGTATCAACACTACTACTTCCAGGGCCTCAGCTACCCGGAGCAGGAGAGCCAGCCCCCACCTAGCCTCCCGCCCAGGGGCCCGTCCCGTGCCTTCCCATCCAGTGGGGGCAGCAGCCTTCTCTTCCCCACTGTGGTGCACATGGCCCCACCCTCCCACCTGGAGAGTGGCAGCATGTCCAGCTTCAGCTGTTACCATGGCCACCGCTCCATGTGCAGTGGCTACCTGGCCGACTGCCCGGGTAGTGACAGCAGCAGCAGCTCTGGCCAGTGCCACTGTTCCTCCAGCGACTCTGTGGTGGACTGCACTGAGGTCAGCAACCAGGGCGTGTATGGGAGTTGCTCCACTTTCCGCAGCTCTCTCAGCAGTGACTATGACCCCTTTATCTACCGCAGCCGGAGCCCCTGTCACGCCAGTGAGGCAGGGGCCTCAGGCAGCTCCAACCGAGGGCCTGCCATGTGCCTTGAGGGCTCCCTACCACCTGAGGAGCTCCTAGCAGCACATAGTCATGGTGCTGGCAAGGGAGAGCCATGGCCAGGCCCTGCCTCTCCCTCAGGGGACCAGTTGTCCACCTGTAGCCTGGAGATGAACTATAGCAGTAACTCCTCCCTGGAGCACAGGGGGCCTACTAGCTCTACCTCAGACGTGGGGCTTGAGGCTTCTCCCAGGGCTGCCCTGAACCTCAGGAGGACCTGGAAGGGGGGTCGAGATGGGCCGTCGTGTGTCTGCTGCTGTGAGCCTCAGTCCTTTGCACTGGGGCCTGGAGCAGGAGCAGCTGGCAATGGCAGCACCTTGTTCCTGAGTGCCCCACTCCATGAGAGCTGCAGCCACACTGGAGGGGAGCTACAGCCAGGAAGCCCCCAGGGCCGGTATGGCCTTCACCCAGACCATTTGCCCAGGATAGATGGGGTAAAATATGAGGGCCTGCCTTGCTGCTTCTATGAAGAGAAACAAGTGGCCCATGGTGGAGGAGGGGGCAGCGGCTGCTATACTGAGGATTACTCGGTGACCGTGCAGTACACACTTGCTGAGGAGCCCCCACCCAGCTGCTACCCAGGGGCCCAGGACCTTAGCCAGCGCATCCCCATCATTCCGGAGGATGTAGACTGTGACTTGGGCCTACCCCTAGACTGCCAAGGGACTCATAGCCTCAGCCCCTGGGGTGGGACGCTGGGCCTGGATGCCTTGCGGCCCCACAGGGGCATGGGAACAGCCCAGGAAGAGGAGCAGGCTCCATGCTACCAGGCTGATGTGCTGCAGCCTGATTGTCCTCCAGAGGAGGCAGGTACCACCAGGGCCAGCCTCCCCAGTGACCCCCAGGACACTCAGGAGTCCAGCGCCCCAGGTGCTGAGGCTGCAGGTAAGAGCAGGCATTTCCACGGGAGGGCCCTTCTCAGTCCTTTTCTTCCTCCATGTCCTTGGTTTTAAACAGCATCTGTACCTGATAATGTGTGTCGTTCCCCAGCTCTGCTCCTCTGAGTTTCATATCCACTAAGCCTGTTTCCATGACCTTTCAGTCTCTACCAAGCAAGCCTTGCAAGCATCCGCCCTGTCATGTCCACAGCAGCACTTGTCCCCTGAAGTACATCTCAGATATATCATCTTTTCTGCACGCCCTGCCACAGTCATCTCATTCCAGCCCATTCCTCTCCAGGCAAAGGCAGAGGTAGTCCCCTGCTACAGTGCTTGCCTTCTCTTCCTCTTGGGAGGCAGAGTGGCCTTTTTGAAAACAAAAGTTGATGTCTTTACAATAGAAAATCCTTGGGTTTTTATGTTTTTGTTTGGTACCGGGAACTGAACTCAGGACCTTGCACTTGCCAGGCAGGCACTTGTGCCACTGAGCTACATCCCCAGCCCATAAAACTCCTTAATGACTTATCATTATTTAGAATCTTAAAAATGTCAACTAAAGCCAGGTGTGGTGTTGCATGCTATAATCCCAGTTCTTGGGAGGTTGAGGCAGGAGGTTTGCTGTGAGTTCAAAGACAGCCTGGGTTACATAGTGAGTTAAAGGCCCACCTGAAATACATAGGGAGACCCTGTCTCAAAATACAAACAAAAAAACAAACTCTTCACCCAGCTCTCTGTGATCTGACCCTTGCCTACCCAACCAACCAGTGCCTCTTCTGTTCTCTTTGCTTGCTGCGTTAGCCCCGGTGGCCTCTCTCCATTCACCAAGATGCCAAGCTTATCCTATCTGCCACACCTCTCCTTTAGCTGTCTTCCAGATCTGAGTTACCCTCAACCCCCAGCCAAGGTCCCTTACTGAGATGACTTTGTGGGGAGGTCCGTACCATTCTGAGGGGGACCTTCTGTGCTTTTGCAGCACCTGCAGCTGTGCCTGGCACACACTAGGCAGTCACTTAAGATCATTTTTGTATGCTATAGTTTCATGCTTCTAAGGACTTCCAGAAAGTTCTATATATGCAGATGAGGTGGGATGGCCCCCAGCACACCATTACATTCTTAGCGTAGACTGAGCCCCTCTTGGAAAAAGAGGGCTGCTTCAGCCCTTGATCAGGGACACAGTCCACACTGCTCCCCCCATTGTGAGCTGTCACTTTCTGAGGGCCTGCCCAGCATGCACAGAGAACAGGGGTACTAGAGTCCCTTGTCTGGCCCCTATGCATTGTGCCCAAGGCCTCCAGCACCATTTCCCTCCCCTGATGATTGTTCTCCCTCTGTCTCCCAGGACCAGGATCTTGCCCAGCAGAAGGCAGCGGCATGGGAGCCTGAGCTCAGAAGGAACTCTTAATGAAAGTTGGGAACTGTTGGACTCTGACTTCCTTCAAAAAAAAAAAAAAGAAAGAAAAAGAAAAAAAATTTTTAGCTTTGACAAACACATAAAAGTGGTAATAAAGAGAGCCCTCCTTTCAGCCCAAAATGTGAGCCACCTGTGGCAAAAGCCTCCTCTCCCATTAACAAACCAACAGAAAAAAATTCTGAGTCCTTTGGCTCATTTGATAACATGTTGTTCTTCTGTCTTGTAAAATGTGTGCTTGGGGTTACAAGGTGTGTGGGATTGAGTTCTCTGCTTTGTTTCTTTTTTTAAAAAGATATTATATGTAAATGTAAAAAGTTATTTATATATTTTAAAGAACCTTAACCACCAATTTTGCTGAAAAAGAAAAAAAAAAATCACTGCTGCATTAAGTGAACTGCATCATGTGTAGATACTGTTGTCTCCCTTGAGGGAGCTCAGGCCTTTGAAAAGCTCAGGGCTACACCTGCCTTAGAAAATGAACCAGAAACTTGAAGTAAAGCTAGTTAATATGGGTACAAACTCTGAGGAACAATGCAAAGTTGCCTCTTTCTTTCTTGTGGCAAATCCAAATGTACAAAATGTCAGGGTTTCTTGGAAGCTGTGCCTCTCCAGCCTATACATTTAGACAGGTGATGGAAATGGCTAGGACTAGACCAGAAAGTCTGCAGCGTTAGGGACCTGGGTTAAACCAGTGCTGCACAAGCCTCAGCACGACAAAGGACTGTTCTGCCCAGTATCCTCCCTCTGTCGCTTTGGGTCATCCCAAACAAGAGATCACAGTCCTGATCTTGGCAGAGGCCCAGATCATAAGGGCAGTGTTCTTGAGATTCTTCACATGAACTGTAACTCCTGAGGCAATGAAGAGAAAGCGCTGCCTCTGTGTTCTTGACTCTGGATTCCTTTGGAAATACATTTTGGGCTTCCTCTCACTGGCTGCAGAAATGGTTAGACAGGGAATATGGGCGAACACCCAGAAGGAGTGTTGCTTTTGTGGCCTTGGTGTCTGGTGAGGCTGGGGGAGATTGCTCTGAGTACCCTGCAACACACTACCCTTTGGAGAGGGGCACCCCTGTGCATGTGCTCTACGGAAGGAGGAGCCAAGCACCTTTGGCTGCTGTTTCCTTGGGCTGCCTTCCTTGGGCTAGGAGTTCAAACCCCATGGGGAAGGGATGCCCTGAGCTCCCTCTGAGTGATACTTTTCCCATCCCATTTCCCCACAGAAACCCCACTTCAGGGTTATTCAGCCCTCTGCCTCATGGCTGAAATTGCTCATCTCACCTGCAAATGTCTACTATCTATCTAATGCACTATTATGTATTGATTCTCCATGAGACAGACTATCAGGTAGTTTAGACCCAAAGGGTGGGTTTTTGTATTTTTCCAGCCTTTGTTTTTTTAAGGGGTGGGGAGAGTTTTTAAAACCCAGACCATTTTTAAAAAGAAGTGTTTCATTTTTAAAAGGGAGAGACTATTTAAAACTACTTCAGATCAGGGATTGTCATCCTTTTTGTCCAATGTATTCCTTCTTATTCTTAATCTCCCCCCGCCCCCACCCCCGCCACTTAGAGGAAAATAGTCACATTAGCCCCTTATGTTCACTAACTCTTCTGATCACTTTTTTTTCCTTTCATTTAGTGGATGGTTGTTGCCATCTGAAAGAGTGTGGCTCATTGAGTATCTAAACGCTCATTTGAGAATAGGAACCTTGGGACCTGGCTCCTATAGGTGGGGATAGGGATCACCCTGGGCTGTCAGAAGACTTATTAACCCCTCTCCAGTCAGGCACTCGGGAAGTCAGCCCATGGTCCAGACTGGAACATTTTGAATAAAAGTCTCACTATATCAAAATACTTTCAAGACCCCAACCTATTACGAGGAAATTACTTCTAGCTAGGATTTGACAGAAATCCCCACATCAAGCTATTGTTGATCAAGCCATTTGCCATTTAGAAACTCAGAATGGTGAGAATTATCCTCCAGCCTCTGGGGTACACTCCTGTGGGGGCTACTCCCCTGGGCTGTGCCCAGCACACCTGTTGATGAGGGTGTGAGAAGCTCCTAAGCTGTTGACATGGGATCAGGGCCGCCTTTATTTCTGGGGCCAGGAGTAGCAGCTGCTAAGAACAACAGCTTGCATTACATGGTTTTAGGGAGGCGGTGGTTCGTGACTTTTAACATGAACTGCAAAAAGCAGCTTCTCCTGGAATTCTTTTTGTTTGTGGTTTTGCTTTTTTGTTTTTAATGCCTTTGAGTGCATATTATCTTCCTTTCCTGAAACCCTACTCCCAGAGCAGCTTTCTTTAGCCCTGGCTAGAAAACCACCCCTGAGTAGCCTTAAGCAGTAAATAGATGAGAGAATTTAGCTGCCAATGGACTTATAAAATGAATGCACCAGTTTTCATTTGAAAGATAGATAACTATAGACAACAAAAAGCACATTTAATTTTTGTACTTTATAAATGGAAGAAAAAAAATGAACATTTAAAAATCAAGCATCATCTTTGAAATTTGAATTGGCTCATCAAACAGGAAGGTCACCAGAGTAAAATAACCAACTATCTTATTGCATCACTCTTTTAATCAAATGAACTCTCTTTGACGTTCAAAGGTTCGAATTACGGTGATAAGCACCTTTGTGATGTGTGGTAGTTGTATAGCCAGGGACACAGAGCATCTCACTTTCCACTGGGAACCACTCCATCCCCCAAATCAGGATGTGACGGTAGGGCAAGGTCTTGTGCCCTTGTCCTGGGTGTAGGACAGCCATGTGAACTGAAGAGTTCTAGAACCAGCTGAACATGGAAGTCTGGGCATTCTGACCTCCACGGTACCTCTGTGCACACAGTCCCAGTAAGCTGGCTTTAACTTTCCTCTTGCAAGCCCAAGCTACTTCATGAAGTTCCATCTCCTGTCCCACTGCTCAGACCCTCTCCTATATGCTTCTGGTCTCCACTCAAAGTTCATGCTTTCAAAATGAGGTCTAAAAAATAATTACTAATCAAGAGGGTTGTCTTTTCAACAGAGCTGCCTTTTTCTATTCTTTATATAAACGTGTTGGTTTAACAAGGCACTATTTAAATTTTTTTTTTTAATTTCTCCCTTAGCACTTAAAATATTTTATAAAGACTTTGCTGTAAAGATTTTGTAATAAAATGGTGTAAGGGCTCCTTTTCCAACATTACCATTTTTTAAAAAAATGTTTTAAAAGCTAGAAAACAACTTATGTATATTCTGTATATGTATAGCAGCACATTTCATTTATGGAAATATGTTCTCAGAATATTTATTTACTAATATATTTATCTTAAGCCATGTCCTATGTTGAGAGTGTGACATTGTTGGAATAATCATTGAAAATGACTAACACAAGGCCCTGTAAATACATGATAATTGCACACAGATTTTACATATTTGCAGACCAAAAATGATTTTAAAACAAGTTGTAGTCTTCTATGGTTTTGTAACAAATTGTACAAATGACTGTAAAGAAAATACAATTTTATCAAGTATGTGTTATACTACGTTGTCATTGTTCTATTCTGTCAAGGTCTCGGATTCTGCAAGGAAGAGGTTTGTATGGACCAGTGGGGGTTTTTTCGTTGTTTTTTTGTTTGTTTGTTTGTTTGTTTTGGTTTTGGTTATTTTCAGTACTGGGGATTGAACTCAGGGCCTTTGTACTGAGCTGCATCCCCACCACCACCCTTTTTTTGTTTTGTTTTGATCAGGACTCTCTCAAGTTGCCCAGGCTAGCCTTGAACTTTATGTCCTCCTGCCTCACCTTCTCAGAGTGCTGAGATTACAGGCTTGCACCACTACACCTGGCCACTGCTTTGAACTTCAGTTTACCCATGGAAGTATCCCTATAACTTCCCTTTCCTGTAAACACAGAGTTTGGGCTTTGGGGAGTTCTGCAGTGTCATGTGAGAACATTTGCTAGAGACTGGGGGTTTAAGTCCTTGAAATGATGGTCTGCTTTTTCCTCAGTGCATATGTTTTCTTGGGGGTTTTTTGTTTGTTTGTTTTTGAGACAAGGTCTTGCTGTGCATTCTAGGCTGGGCTTGAACTTGCCGTGTAGCCCAGGCTGGCCTCAAACTCACAGTGAATCCCCTACCTCAGCCTCTCAGGATTACAGGCATGTGCCACCATACCCAGCTCTGCTTAGTGCATATGCAGAAAGCCAGGGAAAGTAATGCAATAGTAGTAAATGGTCAAAAGCTTTTCCTGGGTGATGACACACCTATAATCAGCACTTAAGCAGCTCAGGCAGGAGGATCTCAAGTTCAAGACTAGCCTGTGCAATTTAGTAAGACCCCTGCTCTAAAAATGACAAAAGTCTAGTGGTCCACTTTCTTGAAAGAGGGAAGATAGGTTGGATATAAACCATTGGCCTCATGTTCCACACATTTTCCTACCTGAAAACTCAAAAATCCTAAAGTCCTTGTAGAAAAAAACCTCCAAGCATCTACCTCAAAATTACCTAATCATGTGCTAGGCATGATGGTGCAAGCCTGTGTCCCAGCTACTCCAGAGGCTGAGGCAAGAGCATCATTGAGACCAGCCTGGGCAACATAATGGGACCCTGTCTCTTTGTCACATACACCTTATCAAACCATGACTGGAAAGAGACTTCAGTCTTAAGCAAATCTGATAGCTGTTTTTGTTTTCCTGGGAGGGTAGTCACTAATTTGAAAAGCACTCTGAGATTGCTTGGAGAATGCAAAGTGATACTTCTTTCTCATTTTTCAGACCGCTAGCAGAGAATAACCTAAACTCATGTGTTCCTGTTCTTATTTTTCACTTTAATTTGGGCTATGTCTTGGGCACAGGCTCCTCACCCAGCCACTTCCCACCTGGCTAGGGGTCGTTCTGAGCACCTTTGATGGTGGCAGCTTGGCTGTGCAGAGCTTCCCAAAGCTTTTGTTTGATGGCCTTCCCCAGCTCCAAGTTGTACCTCTTGGGGGTTCCTGAAGGGTTCCACAGCATTGGCTCCACCACAGCATGGTACAGAGCCTGGTAGCCCTCTGTGGGGAGGCCATGGATGGTTAAGGTGTCCTCTGACAGCTGCTGTGTCTTTTGGGTTTCAGGAAGCAATGCTTGACCCTTCCAGGCTGGCAACCCACTGTTCCAGGCTAGTGCTTGGGTGGCAGCCACATGTTTGGCATATCTGTCCTCAAGATCTTGGCGGGCTGTTACTTTTTTCTCCTTTGAACTTTCTTTGCTCTAGCCAGGAAGAAAGCAGAGAAGTCAAAGCTAAAACTTGAGAAGGGAGCTCAGAATAATTATCTGGGATTTGTGTCTCAGAGTCTTGGTTATAGCAACAACCAGCATTTGTCTAGCATGTTCTAGTTTTCTGAATTCCTTTATGTATACTACTGTGTGTGTTCCCTATAGACCGGTAAGGTCAGCAGGAGGCAGCTTTAAAGGCAGGGAAATTGGTTCGCCCAAGCCCACACAGCTAGCAGTTTGTTAACTACAGCTGTCATCTGCTCAGTGCCAGTCAGGATCCTAATTATTTACTTGGTGCCAGGGTCTGTTCAAAAGCCCTTTGCATGTAGCAACTCATTTAATCTCCATGAAGCCCTCTGAGGGAAGGTTCATTATATGATAAAATCAAGACAGATTAAGCCCAAGATCATCCTCAGTTATGGTCAGAGTTGGGATTTGAACTCTTGACAGCCTAACTGTAAGCATTCTGCTGGCCCTCATGGAATGAAGGATAGGGCCCAGATCATGTGGGGGCCTAGCTCTCCATGTGGAAACTAGCTTACCTCAGGCATGTATATGTGTACAAATACACACTACCCATAGGCTGGCCTTTATCACCCTTCATTTCCTTTTGTCAAGTTCCTTTTGTTTGTGTTTATGAAACCCTTTCATCCTTCTTTAAATTATAATAGCATGACCCCAGATCTGGTACTTTATGCACTCCATCAGCAGCCCCCACCCAATCCCAACCCTATCTTGAACTTTAGGATTTCCTTCACTTGGTGTAGCTCTCTTAGATGTTGAGTGTTCTCTAGCATTACCTTTTCCCTCTCCCTGCCCATCCCATAAACTCCACTACTGTCCATTGTCTACCTTCCTGATGCTTCCTGCTGTCTTCCTGTGCCCAGGTGAACCTGGCAGCTGCCCCACTGGCTGCCTGCTTTTGAAATTGATGGAGCTTCTTATCTTAGCCAGCTGGGTGGCTTTTGTTGAATTGTCTGTGGGCTTTAATCTATTCAAGGATTTTGCGTCTCCAAACCTGGAAGGTACTGAGCAGTATTTATCCTTCAGTTACCGTCTGAGCACAAGTTTCACCAAGGAGAATGAACTGGTGATTAATGGACTCTTTACCACTTCCCAACAAGAGGTGGTACCTGGCGTTGGGGCCTGGATGTTCTGCTTTGCACACATTCTAGCCATCCAGATGTTGGTGAGAGCTGGGGAGATAACATAGCAGTCCTGAAGCCTGGTGTTCAGTAAGATAGACTGTCGGAGGCCATAGGTGGTGATGCTGGAGCCACTTCCCACATGGAATCGATGCTAGGATTATGGGGAGTTGGGGAGGAATAAAAAACAAGCAGTTCTCAAGCAGAGACTAGCAAATCTTTGAAGTCTAAATATTAACATCTTTTTATAGAACGTTCTTTCCGCATAGATCTCTTAAAATTTTGCTATATATCCTCTCCACTGCTTTCCCTTTTTATACCAAATAGGAAAGAGAGAAATTTTACAAGGTTGTGATAGTCAGGCTCTTGAAGAACATAGCATGCTGAGGCAGGAAGTTGGGCAAGGGGAGGTTTACTAGGAATACAAGACAAATGCTATCTGCTGGAAGAATAAGGGAATCCATAGCAGGAAAGGAGGGTTGCTTAAGACTCCTATATAAGCTGTAGTCACTACTCATTTACACTGTGACACAGAAATGACAGCAGGTAAGTCCTGAGAAACCCTGAAGACACCTTCCAACCATACTGCCCTAAGCCAAGAAAAGCCACTAAAGAAGTATACTTGGGTCCATAAAGGTAGAAGTACAGCCTAAATTATGCTTTTCTCCACTTCCAGGAACTAGCCAAGAACAAGAAAACAGTTTGGATAGATTACAATCAGATACTTAAAGAGACCTGGCTTTCTAAGAAATGCCATCTATAAAAAATAAAATCACTGGGCTGGGGATTTAGTTCAGCAGCATAGTGCCTGCCTGGCAAGCACAAGGTTGTGAGTTTGATTCCCAGTACCAGAAAAAAAAATAAAGTAAAATAAAATCACCTTACCATATTTCAGTTGCCTTAAATTTTATTTTAGCTAGCTTAGTAGGGGAAAGAAATATATATTTCTTTTCTCTCTTTTTTTTGTTTGTTTTAATATTTCTAGTCACCTGCCTTTCTCTGCCTCAGTCATGTATAGGCAAATTGCTGTTTAGATTTGGGCTCATATGTAGGCAGTTTTGAGCCATTATCTCTAGTATTTGTGATGTCACTTTGGTTTGTGATGTGGATGTGGGTGAGTGTTACATCATCAGATTTTATAGTTAAATTATGTAGAAAGAAGTTCTGTTTTGTTGTACTCATAGCCTTAAGAACTTCTGAAGTCGTCACTTCCCCCAGAGTGGCTTGGATAAAGATCCTAATATCTTAAGAAACATATGTGTATGAAATGTCAAATACACAGACCAGATTTGTGGATACAGGTAGTGAGATGCATCCCTACCTGTGCAAGAGAACTCTCCTCCATGCACATAAAGAAGGTACTGTTAAATTCTTACAACGGCTGCCAAAGTTAGGGACCAGAAGTGAAAGAACACTTTCCTATCATCCTGGGCACTTCTCCCTATGTGTCTCTCCCAAGGAGACTACATGGTTTCTGGAATGTGGTTTTATTTTACATCCCATGGCAAATGCAGTAATTAGAGCCATTAGTGGTGTCAAGAGCTTGAAAGGAGAACAAAGGCATCTCTTCTTGGGAACTCTTGGGCAATGCCCTGCTTCTTATCAGGTGCTGGTCCTGTTGGTGGTTTTGATTTTTCATATGCAAAATGCCAAAGGAGCCTCTCTCCCCAGGGAGAGGAGAGTGAAATGATGGAAAAACCGAGTGTGAGTCTGGCAGGGACGCCTGGAATCGCATGTGTTGCCTGTTTGAATTTCTGAGTGTTATCCCTGGAGTGAATCAAAGCTTACAGGCAGACCACACCACAGGCTGTGGTGGAACCACCTCCAGACCGACAGCATCTGGACCCACAGACACTTGGGAGGACAATGGCACTCATTCAGTGGCGAGTCCCGGCCTCACCTCCCAAGAGGTGGGTCAGTTTTAGAGTAGGGCTTTGGAAAGGGCTTGCTTTTGGGAAGGGTTTGCGAATGTCTGGAGACTGGGCAGATCAGCAAGCATCCTCTCAGGGCTGGTGACTCTTGGAGAGGTGGTAGCATGCTCTTGAGCTACTCGACAATTATCTTCTGCATTTCAATTCTGCCTAACATTCATGGAAGGCAGGTATGGAGCTGAAAAGTTATCATTGGAGTAGCTCTTGTGCTTCTCTTTGTTCTGGCTTTAGTTTTTGGCCCCCCTTTCCTTCCTTTCATTCCCTTCCTTTTATTCCCTTCCTTACCTCCCTCCCTCCTTTCCTTCCTTCCTTCTTTCCCCCCTCCATCTCTAACTTCCTTCCCTTCCTGCTCTTCCCTTCCTTTCTTTGAGGCAGGGCTTCACTAAGACACTAAGTTGTTTAGAGTGGGCTCAAGCTTGTGGTCCTCCTTCCTCAGCCTCCCAGAATTCTGGGATTACGGGTGTGCCACCATGCCCGGCTTCTTTCTCTGTCCTGAGTTGGGCTTTCCTGCACCTTCTCCTTCCTCCCAGACTCACATCCATCATATCTACTTGCCTGTTTTTGACTCAATACCAAGTAACACAGCTGTGACTCTGAAGAGCACTTTGAATCTCCTTTTGTCACCAAGCTGTTCACATGGGCAGCCCTCTGAATAGTCTTCAAACCTGATCAAAATTCTGCCTTCTCTCCATTCCATGTAACTTATTTCAATAGACTGTGTCCTACGAAGGACTGTCACCATTTTTAGAACCAACCCCGCGAGGGACTTCACTTCACTTGTGCTGTTTTTCCTGTGTTGAGAAAATTAGTTTTTATTCATTGTTTACAAAGGCCAGACAATGTTCTAGGAATGTTATAAATATTGTACCATGGGATGAATGTTGCCTACAGTCCTATGAGTGTGGGTATTGTTGCCATCCCAACATTACAGATGAGGAAACTGAGGCACAGCTGTTCAAGAACCAGGCTCCAGGTCCCATACTTAGTAATCAACAGAGACTGGACCCAGCCAAAATCTGCACAGCCTTTGCTCTGAATCATTCACACTTATCACTGTAAGGCTTTTCCTCCCCTCTGTTTGGCCATCCACACACCCTTTCTGGGCCTAGTCCTCGTCCTACCTTTGCCTTGAGACTGTGGGCTCAGGAGTTGTTTTGCTCAAATTGGCATCCCAGACCCACTTCTCAACCTCAATTTTCTCATCTATCCTTCTGTCACCTTTACTTCTACTGTATCCAGTCTGTCTGACTCCATATTTTGAGTATGGAAGAGCCTGGCACAGGGCTGGCCCACAGGTCTGTCCAAACTCCTGAGGCAGTCCCTCTCCTTGGGCAAATAGGCCTCAATTTCCTCATCTGTGAAATGGGGATGGTAATAGTGCCTACCCAATGGTTATGGTGAGAATAGAGTGAATGAAGCACTTGGCATGACTTCTACTGCATAGTTAGCACCTAATAAATAATATTCTTGCACTAGGATAGAAAAGGAAAAAAAATCTCCAGCTTTCTGCCTTTGGGGTGGCCCAGATTGATTTGGGGAAAGTATTTACAGAAAACAGATGCTGTTGTTATTAACGTTATTAATGTTGTGTTCTACTCACTCATCTAACTCTCTCTCTAGCCCCTGCTGCTTATGGTTACAGTGATTTAATCCCAAATTTGATATTATCTTTGTCTCAAGTCTCTCAGGTTTATGAAGCTAAGCAATGATGCCTTTGAAGGCTGGAAATGTGTCTGGTCTGCCTTGGTTGTCAGTGTCTCTTTTCTCATGATCCATCTTCACTACAGATGTGTGAGGTTGATTGACTGCACAGAAGTGATAGGTGGACAGGAGCTCCATTTCCTGTTTGTTTGTGGGAGTGTTCCAGAACAGTTCATGTTTCATTGGATGGGAAGAGAAGTGAGCAGTGGAGGATACAATAAGGAAGTAGCTAGACACCAGCAGAGAGTGTTCCCTCAAAGACTGTTAAGAATTACAAATTCAACCTGGAAAGACCATTTGGTCCAGGGACCTGAAGCCATGGTGAGCGTTTCCATCCTTGGTACCAACTTGTAGGGTTGAGGTAGGTGGACTGCTATATTGCTGAAAGGCTTTTTCCTCAGTTTGATGTTCCCATGAAGCGTTTTTATCATATTCTTGCTGATTTTAGTCTGATAACCTTTATTTTCCACCCATCCTTTGGAGTTATGCTTCCTGATATATCTAAACCAGCACTTCTATTTGGAAACACGTCTGCACCTCTTTGATGCTTAGCCAAACTTTTCCCCCTAGTATTTTTAGCTCCTATAATCTTTCTTTTTTTTCTTTTATTTGTTCTCTTTAGTCTCTCAGCTCCTATTCTCTGGAGAATCAGCTAATCAAGAAGAAATTGAATCCATTTATATGAATTGTTATCTTTCCTCCTTTATGGAATAGTTGTGAAATTGTTATTTCTCATTTCCTCAGAAGATGTTTTTGTTTTAACACTCAAGCAGTAAACTTCCATGCCCCTTTGAGAACATATCTGAGGTTCATGATGCAGAAGAGAAAAACTCTGGAGAGAGAATTTGAAGATTCCTGAACTGTGATGCAAACTTTGCAGGTCACTGATTTAGACCACATGTGCTGAATATGTACCAGTCATGGGCCAAGGACGGGAAATGATGATGCCTGTCCGTCCTTCCACTATTTGTCATCTGAGTTCAAATGCAAATGACTCCCATTTCCAACCCAAACCTGTCCAAACGGGACACTCCACAGACGCTTCTCAATCATTATATTCAAGACCAGATTCTTTCTCTTCTCTCACCCACATCAGACAAGCAAACTTCTGCTTCTCTCAAAGTTTCCATCGCTAGGAGCCTCAGTTAGAAACCTGGGAGACAGGCTCGGTAAGCATTCTGTGCTGAATCAAACCTGAGTCCAAAGGAAAATCAGGACTACAGATCCTGTCTTTATTTAAAATGTTGCTAACGGAGCTGGGGGATAGCTCAGTGGTATAGCGCTTGGCTAGCACGTGTGAGACCCTGAGTTCAATTCCTAACACTGGGGAAAAAAAAGTTGATCTATTGTTCATTGTGGATTTTTGATGTTCATTTATGTTTCTAAAAATATTGCATTAAATGCTTTTTACATATTTATTAGCTGTATATAATATTTATTAAACAATATTTATTTTGACTACTGAGTGTTTTTTTGTTATTTGGGTTTTTTTTTTACTGTGTTCACACTTAAGTTCTCTCAAATTTTTAGCCACTGTCTACTCATTTGTCTCACCCTACTTCCAGCCCTGGGTCACTCAGTGATAGAACCCTACGAAGATAAGGAGGCCACTTAGTGCAGTGTTTCAGAGCATATCCCTGGAGCCCCACTGCCTGGGTTCAAAGCCCAGTCCCACCACTCTGTGACCTTTGAGCAAGTCATTTAACCTCTGTATATGGGGGGTGGACACGGCAGGGGCACCTCTTTCATAAGGCTACTGGAAGATTCTGTGGAATAGGACTGTGCACACTGTGTGGGACTTCATAAAATCTGCATTAGATGTTTGCTCTTGTTATAATCAGACTCTAGTCCAGTGGTCTGTCCATGACACAGCTGTCCTTTGAGCAGAAGTCACCCTAACTGGAGTTTCAAGGACATAGACTAACCCAAAGTGCAACTGTTTAGGTCTCCCAGCTCCCTGGCAAACCTTGCTATCCATGGAGGGTCTGACTAGAGAGTACAAGTAGGCAAACACACTAACCTCTTCTCAGTGGCCCAGGGGCCATAGTCAATGTCCTCACTCTTTCCATGAAATAAAGCTGCTAAATGCCCAGGCATGCGAAGCATTGAAATGAATATCTCAGGCTGCTCCCTACCGGAGGCCAGGACCGCATAACTGAGCAAAAGACCTTGAGCCCTTAAGTGCCATGACCTAGACACACTCAGCTGTATTTTTAGCCTCTTGTGCCCTGTTTCCATCCCTGCTGCTGGACTTCAAGCTGGAAAAGAAAATGGGGCGGGGGTGGAGGGATGCTTCTTAGGGCTCCAGAGGGGGCAGGAGCTTGCACTTTCTGAGTTCTGTTGTACATAGGGCTGATTTCATGATTGTGCTGCTTGTGTATGGACACAGGTCCCCTTGCTCTAATACTCTGTCACCATCTTGAAATTTTTAATAAGATTAAACAAGGACTCCACATTTTCATTTCTTTCTGTGTTGTACAAATTACATAGCTGGTCCTGGTTGTTCCTAAGGGGAAGAAAACTAAATGAAGGATAGGGGGCTGATTTTGGCCCATAAAGGGGCTTCCTATGTGGGGCAGAACAGCCTGGAGCTACTATGAGGAGGCTAGAGCATCCTGAGTTGGCCAGATAAACTTTGTTTCAAACCTCCTGCATGCCCCTTTCTATTTTCTGTCTTGAAACGAACAATGGGATGGGGAAAGATTCTAATAAATTGAAGAAAACTGCTTCCTGTGTTTGATCAACTCTTTCCCCAGAGTCCTATTTAAAATAGTCTACAGATCATCTTGCTAACTTTTTTTTTAGTTCTTTTTCCCCCTCTGTGGTACTTTTGGGTGTCAAATTTGCACACACACAACCAGATTCCCCCCAGGGGTGACTAGGATGTAAGTTTCCAGGAAAGAGATTTGGGCCTGTCTTGGTAGTGGCTGGGTCCTCAGCCAGGGACATTCTTCCTGAATATTTGTTCAAGGAAGAAGGTTCACCTTTAGCCAGGGTTTGCTTTGTACTGATGGTGTCACCTGCACCTTCTCATTTCATTGTCTTTGAAAGTGCTTCTGCCTGGGAGGGTAGAAATCGTGGGGAAAATGGAGACTGAGCAAGAATCTGAGGAGATGAGGAGGGTGTGTCCCCAGCATGGAGTGCGGCTGGGTAGGTTGGTTAGTGATGGTGTCCCGGTGCTCCAGTAAGGAGCCCAGAGGATTCTTGAACTCAGGAATGACAGTGAAAACAAATGATTGAACAAGATTCTTCTTGCCACACTGGGTCGTGTGGGTGGAGAGGGATGGAGAGGCCTCCGGGGAGGTAGCTGCCCCCTTGGGGCCCGGCCCTGGGAGGAGCTGGCTGCGTGTTTGTACGGGGGAATGACTGCGGGGATTGTGGGTTTGGGGAGACAACTGTGCAGCGCAGGGGTGGGTGTACCTAGTCACGCCAGGGAGCTCCCAGGGGTCAGCACCGCCCAGCCCCGGGGAGCTGTGAGCAGGCTCAGGAGGGCAGGTGTTCCCGCCACCTCACTGGGCGCATGTCCGCACTTGTAAGCCCGGGACCAGGGACTTGAAAGCGCCAGGCGCTGCCCAGACCTGTCCCTCTAGGCGTCACCGGGGCGTTGTAGACTAGAATGTAGGAAAATCTCCCCTGCCTGGGGGAGTATGGGGAAGAAGGCAGGCTTAGGACAGACCCAGTGAGGCTGGGGAAAGATTTGGGGAGGGGCTGGCAAAGGGCCTCAGAATTCAAGCCGGCCCCTCTTCCGTGCTGTAAAACAAGCAGCACCGTCCCATGTATTTCTAGGCTTTGCATCAGGCGGTTTACTTGCTTCTCTCTCATCTAAATCTGTGAAGGCCCTTTAGGGTTCCAATTTTGCAGATGACCAAAGCTCAGACAGATTAGGAAACTTGTTCTGTTTGACACAGGATATGTGATAGGACTCTGAACCAGGGCATAGTATGTGCCTCTGTTGTGACTGGAAGATTTGGCATGGAGAAAGGAGCCTCACATTTTCTGGACCCCTACTGTGTGCGCGTAAAAGTTCCCACGCATTATTTCATTTTTAGCGCAACCGCTTTGGGAAGCAGTTGCTATCACCCCCCTCCCGCCCATTTAACAGAGGAGGAAATGTGAGGTAGGAATTGTATATCTTTTAACCTGTCCAAAGTCTTACAGGTGATCCAGTGGGCTGTGAACCTGGAAAAGCTGATTCCAAAGCACCTTTTTGTTAACCACTACGATGAGCCAAGCAAGGAAAAGCGGTTTCCAAACGCTGTTCTGATTATTACCGCTGTGGTTGACCCCGCGCATGGGTCACGACCCAAGTGTAGGTGGAGCAGAGGTCACCGGGAAGCCGGCCTCGCTTCAGCCCGGCCGAACTTCAGCAAAGGGACTCGGAGGCTGGCCCCGGCCCCGCCCCTCACCTAGTGGCCCCACCCCTCGCTCAGGCAGATCTGGGGCCCAGGGGGGCGGGCCAAGGAGAGAGAAGTAGGCGTGGCCTAGCGCATGAGTGGCAGGCGCGGGGCGGGGCGGGACAAGAGTGTGCCGGACTCCGCCCCTCGGGCCGCCCGACCGAGCCGGGCGGGCCCTCAGCAGGCCGGGCGGCGGCGGCGGCTG